AAAAAAAAAATCTGCTTCTAGAACCCTTTTCAAAATAAAAACAATGTATCACTTCTAAAATATAGCCAATCTCTGTAAAAACATCATAAATTTAACCAATAATTAAATGTATTCAGGAGGAAGACATAATCCAAAAGCTAGAAGTAATACTTGTTACTTACATGTTTGTTTATAACTTGGTCACTAGGATAGACCACTCTTGAATTATGACAAACTAAAATAGAGAGATTAAACAAATGAGCTTCTATTTCTTAGATTTCCTATGGCAACACTTCTCTTGTTGCCAGACTCCCTGAATCATTTCTTAAGGACATTATATCTATCTCAGAGTAGTTTCCATCCAACAAAAGCCTGGTCTCCAAGGAGATGTTCTAGACTCTCACATTTTTTTAGGCTGACATTTCTTAGGAAAACCCCTCTTGGTAAAAAAAAAAAAGAAAGAAAGAAAGAAAGAAAGAAAAAGAAAAAAGAAAGAAAGAAAGAAAAACTGACTCTCCTCTTAGATCAGCAATAATAAAATAAAAATTAAATGCATAACTATTTTAAGCAATGACAAGTAGGCCTGGGACTCATTTCAACAACAAACAAAAAGACTACCAAGAAAACTTTTGTTTGTAGTTTTTCCTAGGTAAAAAGAAACAAAGACTACTTTGTTGTTTTCCTTACATGTGCTTTTTCTACCACTTTTTACCTCAGGGTTGATTACAGTACACAAGTAGAAGAGGCTGGCCTTCACCAATTGCCAAATGAGCACTCCTTTCTAAGTCAACTTTTATCTTCTTTTTATCTAAAACTCACAACAACTCCAATTGACATATTTATAATGATTAAAAACAATTAGGTTTGTAGACTGAGATATACACGGCATAGCTAACAGTTTAAAGTGGTTGTTTGTTTTTGTGCCAGTGCTGGGGCTTGAACTCACAGTCTCAAGCTCTTGTTCTTTTCATTCCAGGCTGGAGCTCTCAGACTTGAGCCATACCTCCACTTCTGCTTTCTGCTGTTTAATCGGAGATAAGATTCTCACAGATTTCTCTGCCCAGGGACAGGAGTCCTCAGAACTCAAACTCCTGAGTAGCTAGAGTTATAGACATGAGCCACTGACACCTGACTTAAAAACAGTTTTGAGCCAAGTACAATGGTGTACGCTTGTAATCCCAGATAAGTGGGAGCATAGGTAGAAGGACAGAAGTCCAATGCTAGCACTGGGCAAAAATAATTGAAAGATAATTAACAGTTTGGGATTAAAATACTAATAAGTCAATAAGGAACCAAGCATATGAGTAAATGAGAAAAAAAAATCTAGTAGTTATTCACGTCTCACCTGACTTTTGTCTCCCTCCACCCTTTTCCTGGCTTGTGAAGAAAACAAAAATAATTCTATTTGAAAGACAAAAGATAACTAAAAAGCAGAAGGAATAGGGGCATGAACTCAAGAACTTAGATTGGAACCAAGATTTTCAGACCTCAGAGTCCTGAACAGTTAGGACTACAATCATGAGCCACCAACACCTGGCAGTCACTTTCTTTTATTTTTTCTTTTATCTTCTTTTCTTTCAGGCATTGGGGCTTGAACTTGGTCTGGGTGCTGTTCCTTGAGCTTCTTTTGCTAAAGGCTAGCACTCTACCAACTTGAGCCACAGCTCCATCTCCAGATTTTTTGGTTGTTTAATGGAGTTAAGAGTCTCATTCCTGCCCAGGCTGGCTTGAACTGTGATCCTCAGATCTCATCCTCCTAAGTAGCTAGGATTACAGGCATAAGCCACCAGAGCCTAGCTTTTCTTTTTTTCTTTTTTTTTTATTTGTTGGTCGTGGGGTTGAACTCTGAGCCTGGGCGCTGTCCCTGTGCTCTTCAGCTCAAGGCGAGCACTCTACCACTTGAGCCATAGCACCACTTCTGGTTTTCTAGTAGTTTATTGGAGATAAGAATCTCACGAATTTTCCTGCCCAGGCTGGCTTTGAACCATGATCCTCAGATCTCAGCCTCTTTAATAACTAGGATTACAGGCGTGAGCCACCAGCGCCCGGCAGTCTTTTTTCTTTTCTAAGAATGGAGGGTAATATTTAAAAGTATGTAGGGTAAGCTGAGCACCAGTGTCTCACACCTGTAATCCTAGCTCAGGAGGCTGAGATCTGAGGATCATGGTTCAAAGCTGGTCTGGGCAGGAAACTCCATAAGACTCATCTCCAATCAACTCTTCAGAGAAAGCCAAAGTGGTGCCATAGCTCAAGTGGTAGAGCATTTACTTTGAGCAAAAGAAACTCAGGGACAATGTCCAGGTCCAGAGTTCAAGCCCCGCAAAATAAATAAATAAATAATATGTGGGGTAAATATGTGACTGTAGTATTTCATGAACAAGATGTACTGTGTTCATAACTGCTTTGGTGAATGGCAACTCCTTTATACTACTACTTACACACACACTTACACACACACACACACACACACACAAATACACACACACACAAATACACACACACACACAGTCAGGTGCTGGTGGCTCACCCCTGTAATCCTAGCTACTCAGGAGGCTGAGATCTGAGGATCACAGTTCAAAGACAGCCTGAGCAAGAAAAGTCCATGAGACTCTTATCTCCAATAAACCTCTCAGAAAACTGAAAGCACGTGGCTTAAGTGGTAGAGTGCTAGCCTTGAGCTGAAGAGCTGAGGGACAGCGCCCAGACCCAGAGTTCAAGACCCACGACCAACAAAACACACACATACACACACACACACACAATTGCAAAAATCTTAAAGAACACAGAAACTGGATTTAAAAAAAAGAAGTTAACTGTAGGGACTGGAATGAGGAATGGAGTATCCAATATGCTAACCAATAAGTGGAGCCAGAAAGAGAAATTACATTAGCACTGATTAAATACCATTCTGAAAACAAGCAAAAGAAAGAAAAGAATAGAATTGTGGTTACTTTCTGTCAAAATGATCATGTGCATAGAAAATCCTAAGGAATTTGTAAAGAAAAAAATTAGTAGAATTCAAAAGTTAATTTAACAGTCACATGATATAAAGTACAAAAATATTTTTATATTTAAATATTTTATTTACTGGGTACCACCGGTGCCCAATAAATTGTATTTTTGACTAAATTTAACAAAGCTAGCCAGGTGCCAGTGGCTCATGCCTATAATCCTAACTACTCAGGAGGCTGAGATCTGAGGATCGCAGTTCAAAACCAGTCCAGGCAGGAAAGTTGGTGAGACTCTTATCTCCAATAAACCCTCGGAAAACTGGAAATGGCTCTGTGGCTCAAGTTGTAGAGTGCTCGCCTTGAGCTTGAAGAGCTGAGGGAGAGCGCCCAGGCCCAGAGTTCAAGCCCCATAACTGACAAAAAAAGAAAAAAAAAAGCAAAGCTATAGGAGACCTAAACATTAACAAGTACACGTAGACTCAAAGGGAAATAAAAGGAAGCCTAATCAAAAGAAGTTTGTCTTTGTCTGAATCCAATTTCAAACAAATAATTCTAAATATTTTGGAAATCATATGTGAGATATAATAATATTGACAATATTAGTCAGTTTAACTTTTATGGAGCTGAGGGACAGCACCCAGGCCCAGAGTTCAGCCTCTACAACTGACAAAAAAATAAAAAAAAGAAAAGAAAAACCAATTAACAGCCCCATAGACTCAAACAGAACAGATGGTCCCAGAATTATGAGGGGGTTCCCTGTAATGACTTTCAACTTTCTATTGGTTTTTTTTTTTTTTTTTTGGCGGTTGTAGGTCTTGAACTCTGGGCCTGGGCGCTGTCCCTCAGCTCTTCAGCTCAAGGCGAGCACTCTACCACTTGAGCTACAGCACCACTTCCGGTTTTTCTAGTGGTTTATTGGAGATAGGAGTCTCACGGTCTCTCCTGCCCGGGCTGGCTTTGAACCGCGATCCTCAGATCTCAGCCTCCTGAAAAGCTAGGATTACAGGCATGAGCCACCAGAGCCCGGCTCAACTTTGTATTGGTTTAAGAGTGATATGTACTGGGGCTGAGAAGATGGCTCAGTGGTAGAGCGCTTGCCTTGCATGCCTGAGGAGGGCCTGGGTTCGATTCCTCAGCACCACATCAGCAAAAAGAAAAAAAAAGCTGGAAGTGGCGCTGTGGCTCAAGTGGTAGAATGCTAGCCTTGAGCTGAAGAGCTGAGGGACAGTGCCCAGGCCCAGAATTCAGGCCCCACTACCAGACCCCCCCCCAAAAAAAAAGAGTGATATGTACTCAGTAGAAACATACTTCAGATTCTGAATTTTGTTACTGTCAGAGGCTAGTGATCTGTCATAGGATACTGTTTGATGATGCACAGCAATGACCTTGAGCCACAATTCCCATCAATAATATACTTATGAAAGTAAATAATCTCTGCAGTGAACTGTAGTGGATAAAGAATTCTATAGGAAGTGGTGTTGTAGCTCAAGTGGTACAGTGCTCGCCTTGAGCTGAAGAGCTGAGGGATAGCACCCAGGCCCAGAGTTCAAGCCCTACTACCGACAAAAAAAAAAAAAAAAGAATTCTGCAGTGCACTCCACTGCCAGGAATTCTGGGATATAGAAATGCAATTATATTGATTACATGAGATAAGCTTTATTATAAAAAAAAGCTTTTTATTAGATTTCTGGCTTTTGTTTGGTTTGGTTTTAAGGCAAGGTCTTAATATATATCTGTACGTGTGTATGTATATACATATATATATGCGTATATATATTCACGTATATAAATGTGTATATTTGTAGGTGTAAATATATATACATACAAATACACACATATTACACATATATCTCAAGCTGTCCTGGTTTGGCTATGCAGCCAAGGCTGGCTTTGAATTTACAAACCTACTCCCTCCAACTCCTGGGTACTAGAATTCAAGGCAAGTGAAGTCCAGTGAAGGCACTGTGCATTTTGATGAAGCTGATTATCTAATAACCACACTGAATCAATAAGATGTTATGCTAAAATACAGTATCAGCACATGAGACTCTAATGTAATAAAACTGCTACCTTTGGCCACTTGGGGTTGAGGAGTCGGGCTTTGATGGCATCATCCAGTGCCTGGTCATACTGCTGGATTTTCATGTAGGCTGCAGATCGATTGCTGTACAAGATGCAGTTTTGAGGGTCAACAGCCAGAGCTTCATTGTAAAGAACAATAGCTGTGTGGAAATCTCCATCATGACAGGCCTGGTTACTCTGCCGAACTTTCTCAACAAATTCAGCTTTGCTCAGTACTGGTTCATCAGGGCTTCTCTGACCAACAGTCTTAACACCAAAGAGAGGAACCTACAAAGAAAGAAACATTGTTAAACAAAATTCAGATCACCCAGACAAGTTTCTTTTTTTTTTTTTTTCTGCTAGTCCTGGAGATGAACTCAGGGCCTGGACACTGTCCCTGAGCCTCTCTGTGCTCAAGGCTAGTACTCTACCACTTGAGCCACAGTGACACTTCCAGCTTTTTCAGTTTATGTGGTACTGAGGAATAGAACCCAGGGCTTCATGCATGCTAGGCAAGCACTCTACCACTAAGCCACATTCCTAGCACCCAGACAAGTGTCTTATGTGAACCTCAGCAGAACACAGACCTTCTTCTCATGTCCTTATAGTTGACTATGGGCCCTGAAAGACAATAAATCTTCCTTGAAGCAGACAACACTCAATGCATTCAACCATGTCTTGAATACACATAGGTATATGTATGTGTGATACTTATATACATTCATATTTACACACGTACATAGTTGTTGACTGACAAAGAGTATGAGTTCAAAACAAGTTTTTTTGCCATTTAAAATTATACTAGGGCGTGGTGCCAGTTGCTCACACCCATAATCCTAGCTACTGAGGATATCCCGGTTTAAAGATAGCCTGGACAGGAAAGTCCATGAGACTCTTATCTCCAATAAACCACCAAAAAACCAGAAGTGGAGCTGTGGCTCAATCAAGCCTCATAACCAACAAAAAAATAAAAATAGAGCCGGGCACCTGTGGCTCATGCCTGTAAATAGAGCCAAGCACCGGTGGCTCACACCTGTAATCCTAGCTACTCAGGAGGCTGAGATCTGAGGACCTGGTTCAAAGCCAGCCTGGACAGGAAAGTGAGACTCTTATCTCCAATAAACCACTCAGAAAACTGAAAGTGGAGCTGTGGCTCAAGTGGTAGAGTGCAAGCCTTGAGTTAAAGAGCTGAGGGATAGCATTCAGGCCCAGAGTTCAAGCCCCATGACCGACAAAAAATAAAAATAAAGTTTGGGGCTGAGAAGGTGGCTCAGTGGTAGAGCGCTTGCCTTGCATGCATGAGGCCCTGGGTTCAATTCCTTAGCACCACATAAGCAGAAAAAGCCGGAAGTAGCACTGTGGCTCAAGTGGTAGAGCACTAACCTTGAGCTGAAGAGCTGAGGGATAGTACCCAGTCCCAGAGTTCAGGCTCCATGTCCGAAAAATGAAAGAAAAGAAAAGAAAAGGCATGATCTCAACTATCTTACTATGAGTCTGATCCAACAAATAATAGAAGAAAATAAAATTAATGTTTTTAGCATGTTAATATAAGACTATAGAGTACTTTTATTTTCTTAAACTTTCTCTTTTTTTTGGGGGGGGGGCGTCTGGTCGTGGGGCCTGAACTCTGGGCCTGGGCACTGTCCCTCAGCTCTATCAGCTCAAGGCTAGTGCTCTACCACTTGAGCCACAGCACCACTTCCGGCTTTTTTCTTTTTGCTTATGTGGTGCTGA